AGCGGATGTAACAGGAGGAAACTGTATATGCTAGCGTGAAAATGTTGGGATCAAATTATGCAAATAAGTCAAACTGGGTTTGGGGATATATAAAGCAAGATGAAAAATGCAAAAAAATATATATTTAGGTGATAAATAACGCTAACAATGATGTGAAAAATTATAACAAGTAAAACAAAAACTTACGCAATTGACACGAACCGGTTTTCGAAATATTATCCTTTTTCAAGTGTCGAGGAATGGTTATGAAATGACATTGAATTTGCGATTTATATAGTAGTCAGTTAATACAGGTTTTTGATTTTCTAAAAATTATTGAGTGAATCATGTCATATCTTTGATCAGTTGAGGATTAGGATTATTTTGATTTCTTAATTAGTTGAGTCATATCTTTGATCAATTGAGGATTATAGGAATATTGGATTAGATTTTGATTATATCTGAGTAATAATTCAGGAGGATTAGATTATCTCAGAGTACAATTTACATAAATGAAAAATATAAATAATCAGAAATCAAGAATACAAAAATATAAAATAAATAAACATGAGAAATATTTGATAAAATAAGCGGGATTAGTAAATTGTAAATTGATTAGAACTAGTTGAATTTTGATTATACCCGAGTAGTAATTTAAATGGATGGATTATCTCGGAGTATAATTTACATGGAAGAAAAACATAAATAATGGCAATTAAATTTACTTGGTTAGATTAAAAGATTAATTTTTTTTGAAGAAAGTTTGTTATATGCACGAGAAACAAATGTCAAAATCCTAACATATACAATATATACAAAAAAAATAAAATATATATAAGATGAAATAAAATATACCAAAGTCAAAATAAATTGTCTGATCTGGCCTGGCACGGACAGTATTAGATTTCGGGGAAGGGAGGGTTTGATTCTCCCAAATGTACAGGCCTAGGGTGGAGCAGACACTTTATTTAGAAATTAGGATTAAGGGTCTTGATATTGGGTTTTCTTCTGTTCTTATTCTGATCTGAAATTAGAAAAAATAACTCGCCCGATGGGCGAGAAGTATAGTATCTGTTATGTACTGATTGTTTTTAGTTTACTATGAACAATATTATCATTTAAGTTCTTATTTTTTGAATATGCAACTATCATTTTCTGCTTATAGACATGGGGGAATTTCTCTTGAAGGCTCTTATAGTGGGCATGAACTATCTTGCTTGCTCGATTGCTGGTTGTATTAAACGGGACAACAAAGGGTGCTATGCCTACATTATGATGAATATTTAGTCCTATAGGTCTTGCTGTATTCAATGTCTCAATCCAATGGGCCTCCCTCGATTGACGGAATTTGGTAGTTTCATCTTCGGGCAAGTCAATTTCTATACGCTCAATGGGATTAGGGTGAGATCGTCTATGAATGTC